TCCTTTATTTTATTCCAGGCTGTCATAGCCCACCTAAAGAATTAATGTATTTCAACACAAAGCAGCCACTAAGTGAAGCAATGTAATTTATTTGACATTATATCAGACACGGGTGCTCCAGATCCAGACTTGACCTTAAAAACAATTTAAAATCCTGGATGTGCTGTATTGGAGGTATCAGTTACCCGTCTGAGAGCCAAATGTGTCAGTATTACAGCCACTGAAACAGAAAACTAAGTACAGGACAAGTCAAGCTAGCAAGCACCATCAGTCCATTTCAGCTGTGAACTTGCTTCCAGTCTTGGGGCGCTGGAAGAAACGACAAGGCTGTTGGACAACTTCACAAATATTTCAGTATAAAGCAGCTCTCAGTTACTCATGTCAGTGTCTAACTACACAAACTGGGGAAATTGTACTTGTTTTTAACTCTGAATTAATGTCAGGCTAAGACCTGCAGGAGAGGGACCGGGGAGTGCTCCCTCTCCCTCACCCCTCTTTAAGAATGAGGTACCACAATATGACACAGCTCCTGATGACAGTGAAATGAAACAGAAAACCCAAACAACATCTTACACCATAAAACAGTGCAGCACTATCCCAGCTAGCAGAGCCTGCCCAGGAACCTGCAAACTTTGCCCAGGGACAGACACACACCTGAAGCTGGGATGCAGATCTGAAGCACAGTATTACAGCCAGCTCCACAGCAACCTCTCTGCTTGTTGCTTCAGCAGTGCAGCCGCTGCTTTAAATTGCTTTACTCAATTTAACAAACGTTGCCAAATGCCAAAAAAGTGAAGTTGTACTGGTAGTAAATCCATAGTCATCATCCCTCCTAGATTCTTCTAGAGCTGAGCAGCAGGGCAGTGCCATTGGCCACCAGGCTGTCACCTCCCTGTGCACGAACCAACTGCAGTTTGAGGTACACAGTTTAAAATGTACAAAGATGACACGAATGTAAGCGGTGCGGGGAAATCCAGAGAGAACTTTTCCTCTGTGTTACCGGCTTTGTTTCTTCAGATGCAGCCTTTGAAAGGAGACAAGAGGTGGTGCAGGATGGTCAGGCCATCACGTGAGGCAGTCCTGGTTGAAATAACACACGCTTCCATTACACAACTTCTATTTACACAATTTTCTTCTTCAAAAATTTTTAATGTGCACCATGAAAATGATCATTCTTTTCTCTCTTGTTACTGACATGGAGGAGTAGACCCTGTAATCTTAGAACAATCTGAATTGCCAGAAATAAAATGAAAACTGTTTTCAGGGAAACATGCATTTATTGTTAAGCATTCCCAGTGAAAAATCAACATCTTTTAAAATGTGTGTTTATTTAAAAAATCATTTGTTTACAAAAGTGTTTGTGTAGCTTTTATTTTCAAGACAAAAAAACACTGATGCTGCATTCCAGCCTCCCCACCCCTCTTCCACCTCCACAGGAAGTCTGGCGCTCAGGAACCAACCTCCTGCAGTACTTACAGGTAAATATTTATTTACTAGAAAAGTCAGAATAGAGGATGGAAAAGGTAATGAAAAGCAGGGCTCTTCAGCAGTTGACATCAGCTTTCCTATGATGGCAGCCTTCTTCAGACACTGCACCACAGCAGCAGCAGTCTCACACACCACACAAGCACAGCATTGTCACAGGACCTTTCCTCGGCTGCCGGGATCTGAACTTCCATTATCCATGAAGGGCTCAGCACCACGAGCGATCCCAGAGCCAGTTTGATGCCTACAAAGCAGGAAACAGCACAGCTCCAACATCACAGCACGGTACAGGGCAAATGATTCACAAGGGTTTGTCCAGTGAGAACAAATCCAAAGTCAGGTTGCTGCCAACAGAGCACTGCAGCTGGAATAACCAAGGCAGAAGCCAAACGCGTTGAGGACAGTTGGTCTTGTGAGTCTGATGATGAATCAGCTGATGACACAAACACCACAAGCAGGAAGAGCTGCCTACATCATTCACAGATTGGTTTGGAACAGATAAGAAAACTAGCAAGAAAGAAGTGATTGCCCCTTTGCCTAGCCCTAGGAGAAAGCTGTGCCTGGAAAACAAGGATGGTAACACTGCAAATATCTATTTTGTCTTCCCAGAAGAGGCTTGGCTTTCAAGCATCTTGACTTTCATTCTTCAGTTCCATGATGCAACAGATGCTGAGGAAATGCACTTTTGCTATCTCTTGTTGAGCCAGCTGCTCATCAAAACCATACAACCATCAAAACTAAGCACCTGGTCACAAATCAGTGTCCCCACTCATCAGCTCCATCAACAAAACAGAGCAGGGGAGGACACCTCATCTTCTCATTGCCTCTGCTCATCAGCATTTAAGTAAAACCAATTTATTTGCTAAATAACTTAACGTTTCCCACTGCAGGCAAGCCTCCAAGTCTAAGCCAGCTTTTGGTGATGTTTCAGAAGGGAACAAGGGACATGCACAGTGGACTTCCCCTGCACTAAAAACAGAACTTCTCAACAGAGTGCATGACCAATGCAGTAAACAAGAACTCACTTGAATCTGTGTTTTGATTTCCCCCCACTCCCCTTCTCCCTTCCCAAATGACATAAGCTCTGAAGTGCCTAGTCTGAGTCACAGCTGTTAGGCTTAAATTTGCATAGTTTAAACGTTTCTGTTACCCACACCATCTAATGCAGATTTGGTGTTACAAGGTAAGATTCTTTCTGGCTATTTAATTCCTCCTTTCAGACAACAACAAAAAAAGTTTTTATATTCCTTATGTCAGTGTTCCAATACTAATTTACATGGAAAACAGTTGAATACAGTAATAATTAGAAAAAAACTAAGACATATTCATACACCAGTAGTACCTAATTGGTCATAAATACTACCGAACCAATTATAGTCAAGGCCCCATGTACTCTGTTGCAAGCTTTAAACAAAACAGTAAAAAAAAGTTTGGAGTATGCAGAATGCACTAAATGATGCATCTTTCCAGGATATGTTCCTAAGGTTTTTTTGTCTCCAAAATGCACCAATTTGTCACACTGAGAACACAGTTTGTTCACAGAAGGAATGGGAGGAAGCTGTGAATTTGGCAAGGGGGTGGAATACAGTCAGGGATTTTGGTACTCATGGAAAAATGGAGGCTTTTGGCAACAGGAAAGGGCATTTCTCTACCTCTGAACAAAGCTGTACTTTGCTCTTGGAGGAATTGGGTAAGATAGGATAAACCACTCTGCTGGATGCATGTTAAAATGTTCAGCAGTGAAATCCAATGAATGCTCTGGTAATCTGTGTTATTACCAAGACCTTGTTTAGAAAAATGGGGCCATTTGGACTTCAAAATGACTGTTTCAAGCCATCTTCTGGCACAACAGAGGAAGACAAAGCATGATTTATTTGTACTTAGCCACTGTAGCCATGTTTCATGTTGTTGTTGCAAGGAGTGGTCAATGTGCAGCCCGAGTCCACAGCTGGAGTGGGCTGCACAGCAACAGGGCCCTGAATATAGCGATGTTCAGTGACACACAACAGAACTGCCATGTCATGTACAATGGCTCACAATGATAAGCTGAACACTAACAGCACAATTCCTAGGGCTCAGCCCCAGCTGCAGTTAAACTAACCTTGTACAACATTATCCCTATATTCAACTCTGATAATTACCAAGAATACAAAAACATTCCTTATAAAGGAGTAACATGTCAAAATTCAGAGGGACTTCAGACCAAAGGTGTCTCCTTAATGCTGGGTCGTGTTTCTTTCCCAGCTCACCTCTTGAGTAGCTTCCTGCCAGCACCTGAGCTAGCATTAAGCTACTGAGCACATGGATGGAGAGCAACATCCAGAATCCAACATTTATATATGAGGGGGAAGGGGGAGACAAGTGTTTTGCAGTAGAGAAGAAAATGAGGTAACTTCATGAGAGAAGTAAAACTTAACAGGGCATTCTTTCAGAGGTGACTGTGCTCACCTAAGAACCTCTTTTAATCCTCTCCCCTTTCCCTGGCTTCCTTTATCACTTTACATACTGTTGGAGAAGCCTGCTGTTCTTAGGAGACTGCTCTATGGAAAGACACGTTCAGAAGCCCAGTACTGAGAAGTTTTATGTCCCCGACAGTGATTTCCAAGTTCTTTCTTTTGATAAATAGCAGCGAAGAACAAGGGAAAGTAGTCAGCAATTCATATTTACCACCAGGGTAAAAAAAAAGGTGTTGATGTAATCAAGAAGTTCTTAGCCTGTATAACAGAAAAGACAGCAACTTGAGATTAACACAAGTAGCATTTTGCCAGTTTCCTACCGTCCCTGGTTTTCACTTAGCAAACCAGCTGAACAGTAGCAGCTTCTTGTTAAAAAAATAAATAAATATAAGGAAAGTCAAAACAACTCACTTCCTTTGGCATCATTGCAAATGATTTACACTAACTCAAGAAAACCCAAGAAAACTGATCACTGACTACACCTTAAAAAGCAGTAAGTATAAAGACTAAGCAAAATGCATTTAGTATTGCACTGATATGAGTTCAAAGTATTTACTGTCTGTGCCCTGTTCTAAGTTTGGACACATCAGACAGAGCAGTACATGGAACACCCCAGAAGTAGCCAGGTCTTGCCAGCTCTGTTGTCTGGTTCTGTTCCCCTACTACTATGCTCCAGGTATTTAACAGATACCATAATGTTCCTGATTTCATCTAGTATGAGTTATAAACAGACCATGAAGTGCAAAACCATTTCAGTTTGTACTCACAGCTCTAGAAAAACCCCAAGCAGGCATAGATTTCCCCACCCCATTAATCCACAGCCTAGGAGAAAAAAAACCAAACCAAACCAGAACAAAACAAAAGAGTCATAGAAAAGATGACTGATACAGTACTCCATTATCCACAATCCCCACTTTCTAGTCTCAGGATTTCTCTGAACTTCCTTGTCAGATACACTCTCAAAAGTTAGCATCATATTCACAAAGACATTACAGCTCTCTTTAAATAGATGTACTAGTGTTTGAAGTTGCAAGACTAATAATTTTCAAGCTTTTGCACTCAGGATGAAATGTCATTTTAATACAAATAAAAAGACTGACTGTATGTACAAGCCAAGGTAAGATTTCAGTTCTCATTTATCAGAAACATCAATGAAAAAAAAAAGCTAAATTGAGAACACACTTCTATGTGCATTTGAAGTATGTACAATAAAAACACCAACACAGCCTCCATGTGTTAACCAGGGAAAAATGCAAGCAAGGATGAATTTTAAAGTACCTGGTAAGCAATCCTTAAACTGAAGCCCAAAATAAAGCTAGAAAACTGCTGCAAAAAACAGCTGATTGCATCATATCAAGTACTCAAAAAATTTTTTTTCCATTCTCAGTACACTGGAGAATCAGCTGTGTCCTCCTTCAAACCCTGTGAAATCATATTATCCAGAGTGTACTGAAGAACACTTTACAGCTATTTAAGACAAAAAAAAAGGAAATGAAACCAGCTTCATCTTTTTGTGCTGTATTGAGGCATACTCCTTACATGATTGTGTAGAAAATATGATGGATGAAAATCACTACTGATAATTCAAAATATATATTTTTAAAGGGGAGCCTAGACTACTGCAATGGCACACATAATACCCACAGATGATGAAACATAATCAACAGTATGATGTAAGGGAGAGGAGAATCAGCCTTCCCAATTAATAAGCTAGAAAGAAAATGGTTCTGAATAGGTCACCATTTGGAACTTTGGGTAAGTCTTGAAAGTCTGGCAGGAAAAGTTACAAAAGCAATTGAGTATTTCAATGGTGCTCTCTTCAGCAACCCTACCTAATATGTCTATTAAGTACAAGCATGCAAATATAGGTCAATCCACAGGCACATAGGATCCATGTTAAAAACAGTAAGATAACTGTGATGAGTGGCACCAACAATTTTGATGACTAACACTCAAAATGTTGCTTTCTGAATTACTAAATCAAAATCCTGAAGCAAGTTCCTGCTAGTCTTTGTCACACTGCTAAACACTAAAGTAGGCATTGTTTTCCCCCATCATCTTAGCTGAGCTCAAAGAATTTTTACAATATTTAGTAAGAAAAAAAATTAAAGTATTTCCCCTTTTTAAATTTACACAGACGTTTAATTAGCTTTATTTACAGAGCGCTTTTTTTCAGTCTCCAATAGTGCCTAGATAGCATCATCAGGCAAGAGTGCCAGTTTTGAAAGAGAATCTATATAGAATCCTAGGAATAACAGATGGTGATGCTCCTCCAGAAGGGGCAAGCTGGACTACAGAAGCAGCTCTCTCTATATGGCTCAGTTACTCAGGAGTAATTCTGTTGCAGTCTCTACATCCCATGATTTTGAAGACAAGGCCACTATTACTGCATTCTGCAATGAGAAAACAAGAGCAATAATATTTTCAGTGTGTGAACCTGCAGCTCCACGAAGTGAAATGAAAAGTTCACAGAAAATCAAAACACATTAGTTTACCATTTTTTAAATCCCAACTAATAATTGATAGAAAAATTGTCTCAAAAAGGCAGGGGGAGCTCACAAGAGTTATCCATAATGTAGTATTTTAAAATTCCAATTCTTAAAAATAATTAGCAAAATAGAATAATTGGACCTACACAACATCATGAAAGTAGGGAATCTACTTTAGTAGATTCTGATGATACTGATGACTCTCTGTATATATACACATAAATTTGCCCTGCCCTTACTAAAAATATTTAGGTTATTTGTACTTACCCTATCAAAGCCCATAGCACAGAGGTTTTCTATTTTTTTGGTGTATTCTGGACTAGAAACTGGTGCTCCAGCATACACATGTGCCCAAAGTCGAGCTGTCTGTTTAAACATTTCTGGATTTTGTTTGTACTACACAAAAGAGAGAGGGGGAAAAGCAGAAAGTTAAATCAACTCAGCAATCCAACCAAACAGCAAGACAACATGGCAGATTGCAACCCATCATTCTTCCTATGATATCTTCCACAATGTTTCATACTGATCATGCTGCTATTCTTAAAGTAAATTTAGAGGTGAGGATTACACAAAGAGCAAACCCATGCAAGCATTTGATATAATGAGTTTGCCTTCAGGTTAAATTATGCACTACTGGTATTGGATGTGTGCAGCCAGGTACTGCTCTCAATTGCACAGATCAAAGTAAAGCAGCTATATTTAGCACAGCTGCTGAAAATTTATATTCAGTGCAACAGAGTACAAATTATTCCTGTGTTAACATCTCCTGAACATGGTACTTCTCTAACCACTTCAAAATATACATTGTTTTACACACTGCAAGTAGGCCTGCAGTTCTTCAGTCCAGGCCAATACTCTACTACTGGGCTTCTTCCTGAGAATGAGGATCTTATTCACACAGGTGAGCAAGCACAGAAAGCAAGGGAGATGCAACTCTTCATGAAAGCTATTACTTACCAAAGAAAAAAAAAAATCATGCCAGTATGTAACTATATTATTTTGTACCAATCTCACCACTAACTAGTTTTCCAATAAACAACAGACTGGACCATATTGCAGAGAATTTTTAGCCTGTGCCAAGAACTCAGCTGCCAAGAAAGTGGGTCATCTGTCATAAACTGTACTCAGAAAAGTTAAATGATTTTCCTATTTTAACAACTTCTGTATGCAATATCAAGTTTGTCTCAAAAAAACTTCTTCCCTTAGATCACCACTTTAATAAGACAAGATATTAGGAAATACATTTTTCAAATATTTAGGTACATTTTAAGGACAGAAACTGATTATTATTCTTAGACATTTCATTATTACATGAAAATAATGATTAGATCTATAAAGCACAGTAAAATGCTGTACATTTCATTTTGCCTCTCCTACAACAACCCACACCATCTAAACTGCTTTGTGTGCCTTGCCCACCTCCCTATAAATGTGATCCACATGTCATAATTTGTATATTTATTATCTGGTGACATTAATGGCATTGAAACAAACATGGGAGGCAATCTACTGTTGGAAATAAACCACTGTTATAAATGCAGTGGTCTGTAACAAATTCTTTTGGTGTAATGATTAAAAAAGAAGAAGGATTAAGTTAAACACCAGTAGCATCCTGAAGTACTATTTTCTTCTGCTCTTAAGAGATCTTCCCCAATTAATTTTTTTAAAATATTTTTGAGAACACTGCCAAGCCTGGAAAGCAACTAGCTGAAGTGCAAAAAATTAGTCATAATTGCATCTTACTCAGAATTAGCTTTCAGTGTTCTATTCATAGAATTACTTTACTTAGGTATCTGTAAATAATCCAGTTTCTCACTGAATTTAGAAAAGCCTAAAGGCAACTTTCACTGATGTTTCAGTATCAGGAATCTGAGGCAGTTCACGTTGCTGTACTGAAAAAACCCAGCAATCAGAGCAACTAATACACCAGACAGCTGGAGTCTGAAAATACTGCTCTTACTCAAACAGGAATTCTCCCTGGGATTCTCTCAAGAGCTTTTGCCATTTACCTGGACAGCACACAGTTTAATAAAATAGCTCAAGTGTGGAGAATAGTTAATTCCTTGTGAAATGTTTGTCTTGGAAAAAGAAATTAACCCAAAACAAAGTAAAAGAGACCCCCAACACCAAATAAACATATGAAAAAAGCAGTTGTTTACCAATATCTCTCTTAAAACCATTATAATCACTTTCTACATACAATCACATGCCTGTAACTCAAGGCCAAACCCCAGCACAGTTTTCATACAGGTGTTTGCAGGAAACAGGATAAACTGTTTCCTGAATCCCCCCAACATCACCATGCCATAGTCCCAAGGACACACCCACACAAGCACCTAAGGGGCAGCCTGGAAAATTGCTCTTTGGAATCTACAAAGATTCATGGAGTTCTTTACCTGAGGAAAAAACTCTTACCAGCTCAAGGGCTTCTACTGTTACGATTCCCACACAAAGTTCTACCATCAGAGCCAGAACAGGAAACACTCTTTTTGTTCTTTGTAAAAAAGGATATATAGTTGTTTTTTTAATGAAGGAGTGTGACAACAAGGGCATACATCTGGGAAAAAACCCAGTGCAGGGATGTGCCTGGTGGCCTTTTTGGCCTTTGCAACACTTCCCCCTGGGCAGAGCAATTCAGCCTGTCAGAACTGTTCAGGGACATTTATTCAGAGCAGCCTTAGTGCAGAATCCCACAAGCAAACCTTCTGTACTTATTGAATACAGTGGTAGCAAGCAGCTCTCACACACCCAGCAGTGCAATGGGCTACCTCTAATCATGTTTTCCCCTGAATCCTGACAGGTTTGAAAAAAAAGTTTATCTATCATTCTACACTGGCTTTTAAAGGGAAGTAGTGCACACCTTGTCACCCTATCCTGGAAGGTTCTGACTTAGAGAAGATACAGGTGAGATAGAATGTTCTTCCAGCATCAGCTTGCTTTGTTCTTCTGTAACTGAAATACACCCTTACTGTCAGCCAGTGGGGAAGCCAGGCTGCCCTTCTCCTCCTCAGAGTAGGAAGGAAAACACACACATACTTGACACTTTGTTGAGAATTGTCAGAGGAATAACTGTTTCTATCCTTCAGCAACACTTTAAACAAAATCATGCCAGTCCTTGTATGGCCCAAGATCCAACTGATATTTTTTGGTATTAAAAGTTATCACTAATCTGAAAGGCAACAAACCTTGTTGGTTATAAAATTCTACTGATAGCAATTCAATCAGTGATGAAAGCAGTTATCCCCAAGTCATCATTCATAAAATTTTGACATTAAACAAATATAATGCTGCACAACATTTGTATTAATCTGGAAGAGGAGCTACATACCAAGCCAAATCCAATTAACACCACCAAGTTAAAACTCATTTAAAACCAATAGCATATTGCTTTTCTTATACTGGAAGCTTTAGATTTTGAAAGGCCAGTTACACTGGAATTCATTTAACTATGCTGTTATCTCCAGACATTTCTCACAAGGTGATATAAATAAAGGACAAATCCTCCTGACACTGTAGAGTAACTAATACTCACTCTGGAATCAAAAAGAGCACAAAACATTGTAGCAGCTCACATTTAGAATGTACCATTTTACAATAAATTGTCTAAAATCTTTTCTCTTCTGTAAGCCTTGGGACCTAACCTGAGTCGGTAAAGATGACAGAAGTGTTACAAAAATCACAATCAACTGAGTATCTTACCTGGTTTGCCACTACTGCATCTTGTGGATCATCTGGTTCTGCAGCTGCCAACAATGCTTGCAGTGATAACAACACTGTTCTTAGAGTCATTGCTGCTGCCCTAAAAGTGAAAATTCAAAATATCCTTAACCTTATCCTGTGCCTGTACTATCATAGAAGCTATGAGTTCATGTACAGATTTAAAGTCCAAGAAACATAATTTTAAACTGCTTCAGGTTACAGTTATTAAAATACTCTTTTATATATATATATTTAAATAAGGTTTTAAACGTGGACTTTCCTATTAACAACGCTGTCCAAAGTTTTTGGGAAGTACCTTGACCTACACATTTCACCATGCCCATTGAATGCAATTCATTTCATCTGGAGAAAAAACCCCAGAGAAGCCAATGGTAGACGAGGCTGTGCCACCCTCCCTCAGCGCGGTACCAGCACCTCTGTCCCGGTGCGGGCGGGGCCGGGCCCGGGGCTGCTCCCTCTGCGGGCAGGAGCAGGGACCTACATTGCAAACACGCCCAACAGGTACGGAATTCTATACACCAACCCTCTTTGCACCACTTTTAACGTTACATTTTTCATTAAACTGAACCTTTACATAGTTAATTACTACTACAATAATAAAATGGTTAGGCTAATTATGGAACGTGCTATCAAAATAGTTCACTACAGCCTGACTGTTGGCAGCAGGAAAACATTCTGTAGTCACAATGGTCCTGTAAAGTTCCCCTTTGCCCCTGTGGAAGAACCCTGTTCGAGGTAGCACAGTCCCAGAGTTGGAACTTCTAAGATTTTAGGTTCTTATCATTCATCTTGATGTCAAAGTGTATTTAGAATAAGACACTTCAATAATTTTGTAAGGGAAAACACAGTATGCTCAGAGACATCAATTACTCAAAAGTAACCACATGGAATTATTACACACTGGAAGTCTGAAAAGTTGTAACCTTTACATAGTTTCATTAGATTTTGATCATAAATAACTCCTCTGAATTACCATTTCAGTTGGCACACACTGGAAACCAAGTAAGAACCCCACAGACCCTGTGAAAGTTGAGTATTTCTGATTTGAACAATTAGATTCTTAAAATCACGGTGGCAATGGCACAGACAGATGTTCAAAGCAATCCACAAATCTGTTTCCTCTGCCTAAGAACTAGGAGTGAGGTGAGTGGGGAAGATGTGACATTTTAGATCTGAGCAGTGATTATGACACATGAATGCCAGAGCAAAGTTGTGAAACACGGGCATCCAATTTCTTACAAACAAACCTCAATTTTCACTCAACAGAAAACAGTTTCTTGTTTTCAGAAGACTGCAAATAAATGCAAAGGCTTTGTTAGAATAAGTGGGGAACAGTTTGACCTGACAGTCCAGCTACAAAAGGAGACAGTGTGCAAGTGCATTTCCAGGCTCAGGTTTCAGAAACTGATGTATTTTCCAGCACTGAGTCACTGTATTAAGGTCCTCTAGCAGTGTATACCAATGAACAAAGCAGAGGTGCTGGTAAGATGTCAGAGGTACATTTGTGGCACCCAAATATTATGTTCCTAGATGCTTTCTTGCTGTGTCACTAACCATTCAAACATGCCATTCTTCCCTAATTGTTTGTAATTCTGGAAGATCTTTCTCAGTAAGTTATTTTTTAGCTTGATAATTATTGCTAAGCTTTCGCAGTGCAGTGTTCTACATCAAAATGCAAGTGAGAAACATCCCAAATGACAGAGATTTTAATTAGCACATAGTGTCTCATTCCAACTGCCACACCAGCTTGAAGTCCCTTAAGCTGAACCTGGTATACTTAAATCTCAAAAAAATTCTTATGCTTTTAAATTTGAATTCTGAAAAATCACAACATACAATTCTCCTCTTTCAAACGTATTCCCTTAGTAATTTTCTTTTCTTTACATGTGCCTAATGCTATTTTGCTCTTATAATTTCCTTGGGCTTGTAATCTCTACTGGTTTATACAATTTTTAAATTAACCTATTTAATGTACACACTGATGACATAATTCACAGTCTCATCTCCTAGCATTACAGGAGTGTAATGCAACATATTTACTATTGCAGCATTCAGGTGTCATGGAATACTAAGTCTTTCATGCCATACTATGCTCAAATGGATGAAATAATTTCTATTTTTATGCAGTCAATGTCAGGTACTAGCACATCTGCCACACCCACTGTAAAACCTTTAGTCTTTTTCTCAGTTAAGTAACTTTATTATGTTATTTACTGTAGAGTTTTAAAGATTGGCTCAACATGAAATATCTATCAACCATAACTAATGCTATAGTCACTTTCTCCAAATAAAAGTTGTTCTGCCCTTTCCTTTGCAGAAATCTTTCTACATTAGACATCTGAAAATGTAGAGAAGATGGCATAAAAAGGATCACAGCCTTTTGTGCCACTTTTACATGCAATTTACTTCCACTTCCATGTACCTTCTAGGAGAGGAGTATAAAGTACACTTTGGAGAGCAGGGGGCATTGCTAGGAACCAAGGGTGCCATGGACACCAGCTGCCTCCAGCTGTCTCTGGCTTTCCACACTGCCAGGTTCTTCCAATCCCTGTTCACCTCTTATATTTGTAGATTTTTATACAAAGCACACTGACACTTGGACATCTGACATTCCATCTTCAAAATAACAATAAAAAGCAACAACTTATCCATATATATATATACACACACAGATGGCTATATGAATATGATCAGAGAATTTAAACTCTAAAATACTAAGTTTCAGACAACATTGGTTTAACCTTTATTAAAAGGTTTAAAAATGTAGCTTACAACTTGGTTTCAAGTCTCATGCCTCAAAACAGCTTTCCCATCTCATGCATAGTAAGACAGTCTGTATTGGACAGAAACACTGAAAGAAGTATTCTTAAATCATAAAAGAAGTATTCTTAAATCATAAAAGAAAACCCATTACAGCTTCAGTTGTATTAAACAAAAGAAGAAATTAGAGTTTGTGATTATTGGTAAAGAAAAACTGACATATTTTGTGTAACTATTGTATAACCATCTAAAATCTTCTACCCTTAGAACACCAATTAGCTTTCCTGATCAAAGAAAGTAAAAACAGCTTGTTATTTTTTCATAGCTTAGTCTTAATTTTTCAGATAGATATTAAGATTCACAGAAGAAACTGAAAGAACAGCTAAAAATAGATTCTGATTTCCCATGAACTTAAAAGCTCTTCTTTGTTCCTGTTACCTTCTTTTGTGAGAACACAGTGAATGGAGATGACTGCCTAGAATTATATTTACAGATATCAGTAAGGCAGGACTTGTTCCTCATGAGCAAAAAGCAAAACCAATTTCTATCATCAGTTCTGAAAGAAAATCTATACTGATAGTGGCACAAAGCTAAAAATCCCAACACACACCCCCACCCCCTTCCTCAACATCTTCACAAGCCAAAGAAAGAATGTCCAGGGGAAGAATGAAAAGAAAAAATGTTGTATTTTCCTTAAAACAAATTTCCAGTGCAAAGATCCAGATCTTCTGAATTTTCCAATGCACCTCAAAGGTTAATTGATCCAGAATAGAACCCTGAAAAAATTAGGTATTTCCAACTCTTCTTACATTTGAAGTTTACTTAGAGGTACGGACTTATGTGCAACAGCTCATGGAGTTCAAGCAATTCTCTTTGGTAACTCAAGTTAGTTGCATGGCTGTGTTCTAGGTTTGTTCTCTCCTCCCTACCAAAGGCAAGGCTCTGTATTGCTCCTGACAGACTCTGTCTGATCTGTTCTTAACTGAAGCCTCAGAAGGCTCTTGGAAAATCCACTTCACTTCTTCACCATGCTTGATAATACTCTGCACACTGAGATGGCTTTCCAATCTTTCACTGTACATTGCTTTTGCTTAGACCATCATTCTTGTTACTTCACTCTAGATTTTTCCTATGGTTCCCATCTTTCTTGTACAACAACTCTCCAAGCAGGTACACTTCAATGGAAACCTGCAACAAGCAGCCAGCTTGTACAATGAGTTTTACAGGTAAAACTTCCTATTTGCCTTGCACATGACCTTACATTGCCTTTGTCCCACGACATTACTGGCTCCTGTTTGCTCCTCCTTGACTTCCACTCCCACCCCAAAATGCTGCCTAGCTATCCTGCAGGTTTGCCATCTGCAAAGTGGGAGGAGGCCCCTGTCATGCAGCACTGAGCTGCAGAGAGCTCCCTACAGGGATGCACTGGCCCTCAGAGAACCTGAAACTAAAAGCCTCCACCCTGGACATCCAAACCAAAAGCTCAGCTTTCTATTGGCATTACATTTGCTAAACCACAAGGAAAATCTGGATTGAATCAGAACAAAGAGAGCTGATATACATTTTGTTCACTTACACTTTCTTCCTCCTTTTTTTTAGTAGTATCTCAGGGCATTTCCATTAAAAAAGAGCACCCCTAGTTTGGGTGACTATAGTGTTAACATTAAAGGGCACGGCAAGCCAGCTGTGCCCAGCATGCCCAAGGAAAGAAATCTCTTTTACCTTTTGATGAGCAGAGAGAGTCCTAAGAGGATTACAAAACACTGCCAGGTTTTAGGTTTTTTTCTTCATTTTTAAAAGCTAAGTAATTCTCCATTTAGGAAGTATTTACTTATGTTCTTTACATTCCACTCTAAGAAACAATCTCTCTCATTATTCCAAGAGGGTAACGAAGCAGAATGCCAGGAACAGCTGCAGCCAGCAGATTGCTACTCCACTCTGTCATCCAAACATGGCTATGGGAACACTTTTTTCTAAATAATCTGCAATATTTGTTCCATTTGTGAAATAAATAAGCTTGTTAATCCAAGAGAAAATTTCTGGGACCTTGTACCAACAGCTTATGGAATCTGGATGAAAATTAATAAGGCCTTTGAGTAGAAGCCCATTGCATAGTAACTACTCACAGGACAGCTACAAGACCAGGCACCCTTTTCTTTTAATCAAAGAAAATTTTAAAAAAAGAATAATAGGATAGCATTGACACAGCACAGAGGGGAAAGACAGCCTGCTTGCTGAAGGGTTCCCTAAAACCATGTTAAACCATGCATTCTCTGCACTCCTCTCAAAGCTTTAAGCTTCATTGCTCCTCAAACACCCTGAACAAAACCCAGCAGTACTGGGTACCCAGGAAGATTACAAGCTGGCTGCTGCTTGTTTATCTATTAAAACTGCATTATCTCTTATAATGATTTCTGCATCTCAACTAAAACAGAAGCACACATCCTCCAGCAGTCACTATGACAAAAATATTCTTATTATTCATTACTGACTGTCAAACCCACAAAAGCCAAGAGTTTTCGTAGCAATATATGCAGCAAGGACACATTCACTTAATGATCTCTGCTCAAGGGATTTGTGCAGAACAGCTTTCAAGTAATTTAGTTCTCAGGTTTCAATGAACTGCATTAGATACGTGTATATTTCAGATTAAAGCTTTGAGACAGTACTAGCCCAGAAGATAAATATAGGCCATAGTAAGTGAAACCACATCATGAAAATTATGTCAGATAAGCATAAACAGTATTCCTTTTACAAAATCCTACCCCTATTTTAATTCTAGTGGCAAACAGTAGCTGCTTTGCAAACAAACTGGCATAACAGGTACTTAATCAAAACATGATAAAAATCCACAGCTGCAAAGAATTTCAGCATCAAGCTCGCAATGTTGAAAAATAATTTCATTAAACTCATTAAAAATAATTTAAAGACATTACTTTTCAAACTGATAAAATCTCCTGCCAATATGCAGAATATCATCTCAACTATGCTCATTAGATCAGCAAATTACCACAGAATGGGAGATTAGGGAAGAGACTTTTTAAAACTATATAAACACATTTAAATCTTTGTATTTGTATTCACTATCTATAAATGAGTATTTTAACAGCTTATTAACTCTTTCAGAAATCCTGCTGAGGCCCATAGGCCGAACTTCTCCAGTCCTTTAACTCTCAAACCTCACTGAAAAACAGATATGCAGTGAAATTTGAGACTCATATTTAAACACAGGAACAAAATGAGCATTATTCAGTGAAGAACATTACAAGTCAAGGAAGTGGCACTTCAAAAACCGGCGTTGTTGCTAAAAGATTTGACAAGAGAGATTGTGGAACTTATATATTTTCTAGAATACTTCCACAGGTATATTTCAGAATTGCATCTGGCCAATTTAGTTTGAATCCCTGGTGAAATAAATATTAAAATATTAACAAATATTAAATATTAAAATATTAATCTGGGGGTTGGGATTGCTTTTTTTTTTGTTTGCTTGCTTTCTAATGAAGCTATCTTATTCAAACCACTTTTCAACCTAGACATGCAAAAAACTTATTTTTGGTTGTGTGTGGTGGTACATCCTCCCCCTGGCTCCCTCCTTAGGCCAGCTATGGTCTCAGGAATGCCTCAGCCTGCATTAATGGCACCTGGACTGTTAGGTTTCCTTGAGCTTATCAAAAACCCTGTCTGCTCCCAGAATTGCTGTTGTCTAGTAAGCTCCTGTTTTCCAACAAAAAACCTTGAGTTCCTTCTTCCATCAAACAAGAGATCAAGTGGAATAGTATTTTTATTACTGGTCTTTTCAAGGAATATTCCAGTAAATACCAACTCATCCGTGCAGCCAGGATGGAAATTTACTGATGAATTAAGTCAATCATCTTGTGACCCTATCTGTGAACAATGGTACTGAAACCCTTTGAGTTGTTGTGGACCACAGCAGGCTGTGACCAACATTTCCCAGAGTGGGATGACTCTCAGAGCCAGCAAACTCTCCAGTTGTGAGACTCTGAGGATTGCCATGGAAAGCCAATGAAGCCTGGGCTAATTCCCTCACCATTCCTCAAGCTTTAATCCTTCGCCCACTGAGAACATCCAAAGGCATCTGCAAGTATTTCACTGAACCCGAGGGTAATTTTTTTCAAGTATGCCTTGGTACATTCTTATTTTTGTCTGTGTACATGTATATTATGAATGTTGCCACTTCAAATTCAATCTGGTCTAGTGGAAGGTGTTCCTCTCCATGGCAGAGTGGTTGGAACTAGATAATCTTTAAGGTCTCTTCCAACCCAAACCATTCTGTGGTTCTATGATTCTATGCTGTGGGCATTTCTTAATTAACTAAAGCTGCATATATTGAAGAACAATCAACAACTTATTTTAAGAACATTAACCATTCATATTGCTTATTGAGTTTTAGGAAAATACTCAGGAGAAAACCAGTCCTATCTACCACATTACGAAATGCTTCAAACAGTAAACAGTGGAGACAGCTATAAGGTTGTTCTTATCAAAGGATTAGAGGCTTTGACAAACACTTCAACAATGCTGAAGTGATTGTCACATACCATTCTATGGTTTGAAAATAAACAAAACTTACAAAATAGCACCGCTAGAAAAGGAAGAGAACACACTACATCAAGAATCATTTGAAGAGGGATTAATAGTATACAGGAAATCTCCCTCCATCACCACCGGGTTCTGTGCAATTCTCTCCTTAGTGCTTCCAAATGAAGACACTGTTTCAAAGGAAGAGTTTAAAACTGTGTAACTGGAATAATACTAGTGCTTCTTGTGTCAGCTGGGATAATTATACAGAAGTAAAATTCTTGTTCCAATACTCCTATTCCATATACGTCTTGGAGAAGGAAGATGATAATGTTTAGGTTTTTTTCATCATGCAGAAATAACAGATCAAATTACCTGTGCTAGGCATAACTCAAAGACTACAAGAACACAGGTCAACTCTCCTGTTTGTCCTTCTCAAATATCAAAGGTTTTGACTAACAACCCCAAAGGTAAATAAATTAAGTTGAAGCTCATGGATTTTTTACATCTTGGTTGCCTTTTGATACTTCCAGACAACCTCGTGCCCGTTCATTAATCTGCTTCAGAGTATGATCTCTCAGGAGACTGTACTTGGACAGCTGAGGAGTCATTAATCTCCACTAAAATTGTAGGGTGGTATGACAATTAGATGCAGGTACAGAAGTGCACTAGCTTTACTGATAAGAAAATCTCTGCCAGGTACCACAGCATGTATACTGAAAGATTCTATTGCCTGAAAGAACATCAAGTGCTCTGAGGTGGTAAGAAAACACGCCATTCCAAAAGTTAGAAAAACAACAGTTTATGACCATTACAATTTCATTTCAGTAATTTATGCTGTACTGTGCCAGATGACTTCTATAATCTCATACATCTGTAAAAGATTAATACCCGGGATGTGTCACCTGCAAGACCTCAAGACTTCAGCATTCTCCTCCAAAGTTTCTGTTTCAAACCCAACTGATGTCTGCTTGGCCAACAGCACTCTTGACAAAGTTGCTGACTTTACAAGCATTTGAAGTTTGTATGGATGAGACACTGGTATGATCTGCTGGGGAATTACAGTACTATTCTTTGGGTGCAGACATGGAGGAAAACAGCCATCTGTCTTAGTATCATGTCTATCATACAACTGTTGTACACAATCTTCCGTCCACATGAAATCAATTACTTTGAAAACAAATGAACAATGAGTGCAGCCTGTTAGTTTGGACACAAGTCTATTCCACAGACTTTGGCTATTAAAACTTCTGCAGTAAAATTAACTGATCAAAGAAGGCAATAGGTAGTATTTGTTAACAGAAAAGCACTAAAATTACAAATTAACTCATATAAAACCACCCAAAATGTCAACAATGAAATGTTCATTTTAGTGCAAAAATTTTTGGAAGAACTCTCTGTGTATATAATAAATACTTAGTGCTTTCCAAAACTATCACCCAATCATTTCATTTGGATATTTGCACCTCACTATACTATACCATTACGTGTGCTTTAAGGACATCTCAAATTATAAGCACAAGGTGATAAGCAAGGTGAGCTGATGCCTCCTATCCAGGACACCAGTATACTTGATTTTGCACATTTAAAACCCCATGGAATCTTACCATTGATCCTTCAGAATATCCAAACAAATGGCCCCAGTGACAGAGCTAATGTTAGGATGCCATATTTTGGTGATAAACCGCACCTAAAAAACAAGACAGTTTTTAAAAACAAAAGCAGGAATTAAGTGCAGTATACTAAGTAAACATTTTAAATCCACCATTTTAAATAATAGTATGAAGAAATACTAATTTGGAAAATATAGTACTACAAATGGAACTAAGATGTGATATTGCTTATTTCAGGAGACTTCAAGTTTGTAAGGCTGTTTGTTTGAGCCTCGCCTAACTCAAAACAGACTACTGCCCATTCCAGCTCCCCAAACTCATCCCTAATTGCTCTCCCACATGTCATGTGTTCACATCCCTGGATCACACAAAGCTACTTAGAAATATCCTCCAGCATACAAGTGTTTGCACAAGCAGATGGTCAAATACAGACTAAAAACTTCTAACATTACTAAAAGAGGGCTTTCTAGATTTCACAAAGTCCTAAACCCTTAACACAGAAACTGGATATCATTCACTGTTGAGCTAAACTGTTGGCTACAGATGTGTTAGAAAGTGGATGCTACTACGTCTATAACCATCCAGTCTCATTACCTCATATGCAGAAAGCTGTTCACCGACCCAAAACTTAATTAGATTCCTAATATTTTTTTTTTGCTATTGAAAGGATCTAGTCCCAGCATTCATTCATGAATCATGTCCATATTTTTACAGTACAGTGTATTCATGTTTACAAAGCATTACTAAAACCGGGGTTTGGTGGTTTGGGTTTACTAGGTATTTTAAGACACCAAGAAAGGTAAAAGCAGCACTTTTTCTTAAAGGTCTCGGAGACCAAAGCTGTCCTCAGAAAGGACATATGTGCCTTTGGAAATTCCCCCTTCATTTTCTTCATGTTGCACTGTAATTGCCTTCTAGTGATTCTGACCCGTCTGTTTCTCATCTCCTCCTCACCCCAAACTCCTGAAAAACATTTTATGTATAGCACAGATCTTTTGACTTCTGCCCCTGACCTGCAAGCAAATCAGCAAAGAGATCACCTGCCAGGCCCTACAGCAAAAGACCAGACATACAGGGCTATAATAAAATCAGTGCAATCCTGGTGTCTAAATAGGCAAGACCAGAACAGTTCTGCTTTCCAGGACAAAAATAAGCTATCATGTCAGCTGAGGCACTTAACAACTACCTCCACTCTAGAAATCACTTGGAAAATGTAAAAAGCAATGTAAATACTGGATAATTTCTCACAGTGAATGACTGCTAACAATGGCTGTCAAAGCACATACTGAACAAGCTAAAGAATTCTTTCAGATGAAAGGCAGGGCCAGACACAAGCAAAAAGGCTTCCAATTCAAGACTCCAGAATAAGCAGTACTATGCTGCAATGCACTGAGTTTCTAACAGCTGCCTATGAACTCTGGAAATGGAGACCACCAAGCCCTAAAGCAGCAACTAAATCATGGTATACAGACTGATCTTTCAGCATCTGCAACCTGTTTCAGCTCTCCTTAATTTGGGTCCCACCACAATGTGTGCAGATTAAAGAACTGAAGACCAACAGACATTTTTTTAAGATTTTCTGTCTTTTGCTCCAGCCCCAAGGAAGTAATTCAAAGAACCTATCAGCAACTGACACCTCTCTCCTCCTTCCTCTTTCCCAGTTCCTTCCAAGTATTACATACCAGGGTGAAAACAATAAGAATCTAGGACATGTTCATGAAAGACCTCTTTCAAACAAAAAGCAAACCAATCAAGAAGTGGAGTCAGACAACTCAGGTGTCTACTGATTCAAGGTACTGAAGAGTGGACTAAATCAGGGCACAGGAATCTACAGCTGCACATGGCTGGAGAGAACATTATTCAAAGTGAATGACAAAACTGAAGTTCTAGAAAGATGCAGTAAAGTTAAAAGGCCAGTAAGTTGTGAAAAATATGAGTGACTTTACCACAGCCATTTCTGATCTCTCATCCATGTGCTTGTTATCTATTTCTATTATATTTCTCTGTTGGTTCTTCAAGACACACAACACTACAAGTCTCTATTTAATTATTACTAGAAACTTGGTAGGTTAGATTCAAAAACCTTTTAAGTACAACTTATGGAGCCCAAGAAATTAAAAGAACAAATAAATCCCTATTACAACATTTCTTCAACAATGCTGAGGGGGAGGGAAGACAGCTGTACCCTCCACATAATTTAAAACTACCTGAAAACTGTATTTATCTTGTCAGAAATATATTACATTAAGGTCAATAATAAGGCCCAAGCTCCTCCCCCAAAATTTCCCAGTATGTACTTTTAGGAACAATCAGAGTGTACCTCTGACTAGACACAGTTTTGCATCCTGCTTTGTTTCTACCTAAATGTAACAGTTCCAATCCTTGTCTAGAAGTGAATTAAAAAAAAAAACAAACAACAACAAAACCAACAAAAAAAAAGATCACCAAACAAACAAGTATATAAGAATACTCAAACCCAACTTGTTAGCCAAATTGTATTACCCAAAAATGTGTGTTTGCAGTACCTTAGGAGGATTAAACGGATATGTTTCTGGGATTTTTATCTCTAACTGATACCTTCCACCTGCAAAAGACAAGAACAAGTTGGAAATTATACCAAAAGAACATTATTCAAACTTAAGTCTTTCATGACACTAAAGCTTACACTTCTAAATGAGCCTATTTTCAAGTTAATTCAAATTTACCCAGCTGTATTAGTTAGGAGATTCATTTAGATTTCATCTATTTCACAAACAAATGCAATAAAGTCAGTTAGAAAAGCTGTGTTTGCTTGTGCAAATCACTACCTATATTTTTTAGGTATATTTATTGTGTACATTCTCATTTCCAGTCTTATCATTTCCATGCTTTATTTTAGTAAAATATACCAAAATAAGAACCAAGTATCTCCTAAACAGATGAAAAAAGAGGACACGGGAATATTCAGGCTCAACATAGGATATTACATTATTTTGACTCTCTTCTGATACCTTATGACAAATTTTCTTCAAATTACACAATTGAAATTACCCATATTTAATTTTAAATTTTTTGAAATTCAAATACGTTCAAGTAACTCTTTCAGAAAAGTTCCCACACTTTGGGAAAAAATAATAAAGGAGGTACCAGTGTTTAACTTTTATTATGTGCTACATTACCACCTGAAGTAGTTACTTCTGTTTCAATTCTGCAAAGACTTTGACACACCAGTATCATTAATACAACATGAAGGGCCAGAGCATACAATAAAGGATAACAGGAGCTTGAAGACTGAACCCCCTCCTACTGCCCAGTTTTAAACATTTCTCAGTTTGATTTCTTTGTCACAGTATTATTCCCTATCCTATTTCCATTATAGTTCTGTTAACATTCAAGTTCACTACCAATACTTATGTCTTCTGGAGCAATCTCAGACTATCTCTGGCTGCACAGTGAAGGCCATTTGCCAGGCAGCAGTTCAATGACAAAAAGAACAGGGTATTAAAAAACATACACTGATTTTTAGACATTTCATTTTTTATAAAAATTGAAAGTATTTATTCTTATTTGCAATTTTTTTCTTCAACCTGCTGCTCTTCTTTCAGAAACTTTTTCCCTCTCTCATTATAATGTGTTACAATTTATACAATTTCTTGAATTAATGCTGAAGTATTTGCAATCTATTTTCCTTGAGATTTCCAGTGATTTACTCCGCAAATCAAGGTATAGAGAACCAGCTCTCAAGTAGTTACAATACTGGCAGCAAGATGCACAGGGAATAAAAGCCTCCAAGTACTCCTCTCAGCAGTTACAGTATATGGCATCTTTTCCTCCGTGCCAAAAAACACATTAGTAGCTCCTAAGAGCTCTCATTTTTAAAATGTATTTCAGTCTAATACACTCCACCTGAAACTAGTTAGCATCAGTTTGGAATTTTACACTATTGCCTACAGCTGTTCTTTTTCTCACTTAGCTCTAAAGTAACTTGAGACATTTTAACAGATAATACTATATAAGAAAGACCAATAAATCCAAAATTATAACAGTAATGTCTATGTTGATTGCTTGTCTGCTAACAGGACAGCACAGGATAAACAGTTTTGAAGAAATACAGCAAAAAGAGACCTCAAGGAAGTTTGGTTTTCCTTTTCTTTAAACTGAAGCATAATTCAGCAGCAACTGTTTCTAAGAAAAAAAGCAGCTACGCTCATCAGTCCTTCTACAATTTTGCTGCCACATCATTTGTAAGGTAATGTGCAATCTATCCTTAGGTATTACCATTTCTCCTGCTTACCACGAACTATTACAGTCTTCTGCCTAATAGGATATTCAGCCACCAATATCTTTCACCAGAGACTGAAGAGATGGTAGTGTTTATACAGTATTGTTTTGCACTAAACTTTGATGTTAAAAATACAGGCTTAAAGACATAACGCAAACAAATCTGTGATTTTTTTAATGCTAAATTTAAAATACAAATTACTAATATATTAATTTCTGCAAGCCCATATTTTGGCATTTTTTTAAAGAGGATGCATATTAATGGCTTTTTTTGTGGCTATTTAATGCTTGAAATTGAATTAAACAGTAATGGCATAATATTCCTTCTGTAGTCCTACTGGAACAGGTCTCACAAGAGTTAGAGCAATTTTTAGCTATTTCCCTTGAAGAAATAACCTATTATAAATTTTGCAGTTGCTGTGGCTCACATGCAAGCTTGGCTTGAAATTAATAACAATATTACACAGGCTTAAAAAAAAAAACAACCTCAAAAAATCCAAACCCACAAAACCTCAATCTATCTACTGAAAAGCTCTTGATTCAAGTAAAATCGAGCAGCCATTAATCAAGTCTCTCAAAGGTCCTCTCTCCAAACACATTTTAACATTGGATGCAAATGTGTTTCAATTAAGTGGTGTCTTGCAATATTCTGGTAATTGGTCAATATGAGTTGACACTACTAACAGATAAATAAAAGCTGTAAATTTTGTCAATAGATGGCATTCTTCCTCTCAGTCACTCTTAACTAATGTTCCAACATTACCTATAAAAAAATTTGCAGCAGCAGTTTGGTTTCAGATACCTCACCAACTATGGTCAACAACTGTTCTTTCACTTCTCAATGGTTCTAGAATTCCCTCCTGTATCACAGGGACTGTCTGACCAGAACTACTGCATAAAACTTCTTCATAAAGCACTTCTTGCTGTGTCACTGTTCAGATTATAGATGACAAAACATCAGTCAGTAATTGTGCAGCATGCATAACTGCTATAGTCATAAAATGAAGACAAAAAACACTGGCACGCCCTTCATAATTATGTAAGGGAATAAATGCATATAACTATATTACAGAAATATTAACATTCCAAAGCAAATTATTCTAATGTCAGGAAACACCAGAAACTGGGCTGGCAGTAACTCTCATTTTGTTCCTCAAAGCATATGACTTCTAGATTAAAGTAAGCATACAATCAATCACAATGCTCTTCCATGAGATCCCTGCCAAAATCAGAATAAACAATAAGTTCAAACCCCCCCCCCAACACCAAGGGGTATTTACTATATCCTCATAATTAAATCTACTCAAAGGTATGGAAGTGTGCATGCATTTCACATCTACAAATTCTGCACTAAACATATTGCTGTTTTCCACTAGCAGGATATGCTGAATATCTGAGCACAGTACCCAGCTTTTGAAATTCTTGTCTACCTGAATCATTCAGTATCACACAGAACCCAGTTCTGCAGACAGATATTTCAATCTCTTTTTACCCTCTACATGAGCTGCTATACAGTTTTTAACTTATGTAACACTCATGAGTGTTACACATGAGTGTTAGATATTTAATTTCAAGTAACTCTCAATACATTCTCTAAAACAGGCCCATTTTATAAGCCAAGGTAATACTGACCCTGAGGGGGGGAACATGGCAAGCTCTGACAAACCAACTGACCCAAGAAGGTTTCATTCTCTCTGAATGGAAAATAAACACCAAAACCAACACCCTTCTAGCACCATTCAGATGTTTCCTAGTATTCAATTGCCTATATACAGATATTAATTTATTACAATACTAAGTCTTGGATTTACAGGACTAAAACCCTCTGATTTTATAGATTCCCATATGATACTAAATTCTAAATAGAATGATTCACTTCTCAATAGATCACCAGCATGAGTCTGTATTTTAGGTGAACATTCTCAATTTATTTGCCTGAGACACTCCTTGATACTTTTTACTGTACTCCTTTCAAATTGAAGGCACATATCACAACCAGAATAAATTGTTTCCAGACATTATCATCTGTCAACTATACATCTGCAGATGATGAGATGGAGACACATGGGACAAGGGAGGGAGAGGGAAAAACCACCATTATTTACTAGAATGTCGAGGGACTCTGGAATCTGCAGGGCACCCCCACCATTACAGCTGCTTCCACTTTTCTACTTTCCTTCTTCCAGACTAATTTCCCTTCTTGTCAGCTTCTGACATCCACTCCTGCCCAGTATTCTTCCATGTCAACCACTGTCAGGCTATTTCTTCCTTCTTTTCCTGTCCTGGGTCCCAAAGCTAGAGGGGAGACTCTCCCTGCTCTCAGTCCAATGCTACTGCACCAGCTTCTAGCCCAGAAAAGCAAATCACAAGGGATGTCCTCCATTAGGGAAGATGTGACAACCAGATTTTCATCAGCAGTCACTAATGCTTTTGAGTGCATACACTTCCTATAGCTATAAAACAATTTCCAGGTATTTTCCCCACCTGACAAAAATTTATTTTTTCAAAATGATGACAAATGGCATGTGTCCAATCTGAAGGGAACACTAAAGTCTCAGTCTTAGCTCAAAGGCATAGAGCAACTAGAGCACCTGAAGAACATGCAAAATAGTTTCATATTCCAAAAAACCAATTTATTTGCTTGAGACACTCCTTGATACTTTTTTATTGAAAGTACAAATTCAAATCAAAGTAGATACCTGGCATGGAAAAGTGAAGTAAAACTATGTTTTAAAGCCATTCAAATTTTTTATTTAAAAATTAAAAATCCTTACTTATCATGAAAGAACTTTAAATAGAAGGTATGTCTGCCAGTTCCATATATATTATACACAAAGTTTACAAGTACCAACACTATTGAGTAATTTTGTATCTCTGAAGAAGCATGTTACATTAGCCTCTGTTAAAGCTTCTTTATGGAGGTTACCTTGCTTTTACCAGACTGTAAGAGATGCATAATTAGTAATATACCAGCTTTAATAAACTAGAAAGTCAGTAAGGTATAATTTTTGAAGAGAGCTAAAGATATGAAGCTCTACTTACAGAGTCCCCCACATCAGTATAAATTAAGTACTGGGACACACAGATGCCCAAAATTAATCCCAAATTTAACTTGCAACAGCATCTCTGCTTGGATGGGAGAAATGCAATGTTTATGAATGATCACCACTCTAGATCACAGAAATACATGCACAGTCTGAAGCTAAGTTTCTAAATGCCTCATGGGTAAGGAGCTCAAGCTCTCAAGACAGTAAACAAACAACTAGAAGTCAGAATTATACCAATTAAACCACTCCGCTCATATTTGTAAATTAACCTTGATATGGGATAGTCTATCCTACTGCAAAGAGATCTCTCCTCAGGGAACACAGAAGCTGAACTGAAAGAGTTTTTTAAGCTTATTTAAAAAAAAAAAAAAATCAGACTATTTTAAAACATGTACCTCTACATTTTATGCTGTAATTATTTTTACAAACAAAGCATCTCAAGACACATGACTTGAAATGTACAATGATTGCATACACAAAAACTTTACTTGCCTTCATATGGTGTGTCCGGAGGTCCTGCTATTTCTCCTCTTAATTCTGTAAAATTCTCATCTACAAGATCTACTTTAATTTGATTTTTGCTCGTCTTAAAAATAAACAGAGAAACAAAGAATCATAAGTAAGCATTTCACATACAAATTTCCCCCAAAATATGCTACTTTAAATTTTTAGAACAGTACTTTAAAGTAAGTAAACATTTAAAAATATAGTAACCTAAAGTTAATAGCTATCTTCCAGTTGAAATTTTACTTCATTAAAAACAGACTACTTGTGAAGCATTAGAAACTTCAGTACTAGTTATACTATCACTAGAATATGCAAAGCAATCCAGCAACATATCTAAAATTGTACTTCAAAGTTGACTACGTTTTAAAATGACTGTGATCTTTCAAATCAGCTATTAATTCTACATATCTACATTATAAAATTAAATTGACCAAATTACACATCAGTTCTTTTCATATTTAGACCAAGTGATTTCAAAACAGACATTTGTCACTTGCAATGGAGCACAAAAAGACTTCCCCAAACAGAGTAGTATTTTTAACATTACGAAGATCTAAACAGAATATTTTAGTCTTAAGATCATGCATATCTTTAATATTTAGGCATAAGATACAATTTACTTTATGCACTTGAATTTTATTGTCACCTCCTCAACATTTTCACACCCCATATGAACTTCTCTACAAAATAAAAATAATGTACTTTGATACTGGAGAAAACATATGTTTTTCCAGAAACAGATTCTCCAGAAGTGTTCAGCTAGAACTACTCATGCCATTGAATTTGCTTTCCAGGTCCAGAGAGCAGTATTAGTGAAAGCCATGAACTTCCCAGCCAGTAACTTTTATTGGGGAGTTGCAAAGCACAGTCTCCTTTTAGAAAGATGTACCATCAAGTTTTCAGAGGTAAGGAATTACAGGTTTTTCCATTCTGCTACTTCTGCATACTGTGCTCACTGACTGCAATACAGATTTCTTAAATCCTGTGTTATTTTCTTGCAAGAACTGTTAGCATCTTTTCAGATCTTTTAAAATTGTTCCAACTAGTTCTATACAGCTGTGCTTCTTCTCACCCTCAGAGTAAAGGTAAAGGCAGCTACTGGAGAAGGATTAAGTCATATAAAGCTGCTGGGTGCCACGAGCTGGTTCTTGAACCTACCAGTGATATGAACCATTAGGCACACAGCATTCACTGGACAACAGCTGGGAAATCACTTCTGTTTCTTTCCTGCAAATGTTCTATTGAATCAGTCCCACCAAAACAAAGAGTGCTCTTCTGACCAGGTATGTCCACAGATATAAAGAAAAATCAAAGATTAGGTAAAAGTTTCACCATGTAAAAAATTCTAATTCACTAAATTAATCCAATAGTGAACTGGGAGCTTTTAACATCTGTAGTTACATACATTTGTATTTAAAACTTAAGATCCCTCCAATCCACACAAATGAGGCAGCACCTGCAGTTCTCCACAACAGCCAGGCACTGTTAAAAATTCTCTCCCTGAATTTGAACTTGATCTTATGTGACCTATCTTCTTGCAAGCTTTCCAACATCACTTTTAATTTTTTGCTCTCGCGCTTCCAACTGGCAGCTTGTTCCAACACCTCACAATTCTTAAAAGCTTTCTCAAGTACAATTAGAAGTTACAATCTACTTATCCCCACTTGTGATAGCACTGTTTCCCAGCTTCAACAAGTTTTTCATATATCTAGTATTTATTCCCCTTGTAAAATATATGGCATTTACACTGATTTTCCAGCCTTAATTTTGCTTTAAACGAGATGAAATTCTAATCTCACCATACTGATTTTTTTATAAAAGGTTCACTACTATGTCCCATGATCACCTAACCAGCCCTGCATACACAAATTTAGACAATGTCTCAGAATCTGTGCCACGAGCACTCTGTTGCACCCACTGAAGACACATCACAACCAGTATAACCTAAGAAAGATGAAATCTGTCTTTTTCATGGCAGCATGAAAAGGCTCAGATCAAGTGACAAGAGTCCCAGCAAGGATTCCTGCAGAAGTTTTTGTCCTCTCCAGTGACTGCACCGAGCTTTGTCAGAGGTACTGCCCCTGTGCATGCACTCTTCATTGCCAAAGCAGCAGAGTGGGTTAAATGACCAATACAGGTCAGTCACTGTAACTCTCTGTGCAGGTACTGCAGTCTCTCAAACCTCAGCTGAGCTTCTCCTGCTCTCCCTCAGCCAACATCACCTGGCAAGCTCCACCTTGACACCAGGAGTTCTTGTCCTTTGCAAATAATTTCTCATGTAGAGGACTGTACTAATAGCAAACAGGATGAATTTCAATGATACAATCTATGGTTAATCCATGCTGCAGCTTGCTTCATTTCCTACTTTGCATTCCGCTTTTCCTCAGTGACCTCCTGCACACTCTTGTAGCAGCCTGGATATTCTCCTTCATATTCAGTTTCAATTAGTATTACACTTGCTGTTTTTCACAACAAATCCTTTCCAACTCCACAAATTTGTTTAAAAGCAATCAAACACACAGTCTGTCCCTAAGATCAGTTTCTTTCAGGAGTCAGTGATCCTGGTGCCCACTTTGAGATGACTGCTTCCATTACTACAGCTGTAGCTGTCTCCAAGTCCTTATTTGCTGTGCACAGCACCTTAAGCAAAAACAGCAATACTGCACTGTTTTATTGCAGGGATTAACTTAATTTTGTATTCATGTTTAAATTCTACCATGTCCTCCATATACCAAATTATTGTTTTCTTCAAACAGCTGAAGATCTTTTGTTCCATGTTATTCTGACACTTTTCAAGGTTCAGCTCAGCTTCACCTTGACAAGTATTGCTTTATCCTTCATTCCTGGAGAAACAGCGCCAAAGCGATTATTAAACAAATTAAATCTGGAGTGTTTTCCTACAACATTTCTCTTTAATGAGGATCATGTAGGATAAAATTACCAAATTTTAGCAGTTCTACAAAACAAATCCCTTCCCTCCACCTCTACCAACAATAGTGGTCTTCAAAATTTTTCTAACACCAATAACCCTAGCACAGAATTTATGACTCAGCTTGTGATCTCACACCCCAAGTTGACTTTCCAGAAGCAGTCCTACAAAGACCTCAATACACTTTCACACCAAGTCTAAAACAGCCTCACCTCCTGTTGATCCAGTAACAATTTAGTGACTAAATCACTGGGCTAGCAATTCCTGAAATATGAGCCATGCCATTACTCACAGCATTTATTTCCATAATTTCAGAGCAGAATTCTGTAACAATGCAGTGCACAGAAGTCCATCAGTAAAATCCTTCTCTAGAAATCTACAAGTTCAACACTAGCATAACTTTCCATTATCACACCTGAAAATCATTTTGATCAAGACTGATCAAAAAAACCCAAACAACAAACAGAACACAAGACAGAGAGAAAGGAAAACTGATGCAACAATTTTCTGTTGCATCATGCAAGGGAATGCATGATGCCATTCCCTCTGTTTTTCTTGGTAGTCTAGATGGATTATGCATAGCCATTTCTCTTTTTAATTCACACTAGGGTCTAGTCAAAAGATTTGTTGTCTTTTAGACCAGCTCAACTGCTAAGATTCTTTTTGCAATGCTATAGTCCTGCTTAACCAATTTTATTGGAAACCTTGTGGAAACTAAACCCAAGCTTGTGGAAACTAAACCCAAGTTTAAGAGACTAAACTAAAAGTATGATGCAGACAAGTTGGAGAAGATTCATACGATGCCCTTTTATTCACTACTAAAAGCTTTATCTCTGAAAAGAAACCCAAATGAATCAATCCTTCATGAAGTGTCATTCTGTGAGCATCTTCCAAAGGACAGGACACTTAATCATATTTATCACAGTAACCATTGATCAATAATATTTTGTCTTCACCTGCTTTCTCTTAAAAAATTCCAGAATGATACTGTCTAATTTTATGTTTTAGTAACTTCCTTGCACAGAACACACAATCAACTCCACCAGAAAATTAGAAGAATAAGTTCTGCCACTGTGAAGACATAAACACACATCTTCACTTCTACTAAAATCATTTTAGAGAGCAGCTCTGGACTCTATAATATTACCCTCAGCAGATAACAAGCTCTTCTGTTCTCCTTACTCACCATAGTCTACAGGCCTTAATAAGGAGGGCCTGCCCATTCTGAGGGCCTGTCTGCCTTCTGCAGGAAATCCAACCTTTTTCCTGAGCTTTCAATACCATTTCCTTCTCTCTTCTTCAACCTGCCTTTAGAAACCTCTTTCATTTCTTCATGGCCTATTATCCTCTTCACTAGTCCAGTACCTCTACTCTTAAAAATCCAGTGTTTTCCTTGACATAAAATAAACAGACAAAACCATTACATATCAACACAAAAGAGCACATTAAGATGATAAAAACTGCATTGTTCTTCTAAATTTTATTTCTCACAAACAAAATACTATTTACTATATTTACTAAAAGCAGAAGAAAATTATATATTCAAAGTTTGATCCAGGATCAGTCTACTTCATAAAGACTGAAGTAGAGCAAACAGCTTTTTAGGAATTATAATTACATCAGAACTTTTTATGCCTTCTAAAAGAGCCTCCAAATTCTTCAGTAAATTTGATAAGGAGACTACCAGAGAGTCAATCTCAAGCAATCTGCATAAAAATGCCTATTATGAGAGCTGGTGATACATGGACAGATACTGGTAGGCTGAACTAAAAATGAAAGAATAAGACGTTTCTAATAATTTTTTCTTTAATTACGTGGCCAACAGTCTTGACATGTGTTGAACTCTCTTGAGTAGAAGCAAAAAACCCAAACAAACCAACCCAAACTCCAAACAAATCCCTCACATTTCCATGTCAGCCACAACTACCAAACATCATAAACTTAATGCTGGATGATGGCAACATACAAAAAAAGTTTTGAGTGAAGTTTTCCTGGAACCAATCAGCTCTACTTACTCCCCCCAGGACAATTTATTCACATTAGACCCTCAATCCCTGTATAATAAATTACTCCACAGAAACATAAATGCATCCATTAGCAAACATAATATGTTTTTAACTATTGGTGTCAAAACTAAAAAAGAAAATTAT